GTAATTGATTACGTATATATTATACATAATTTCAGTATATTTTATACATTTTTTACGAATATTAAAACATATTATTATCGTATACAATTCCGTATATAAATTTCTTATAGGGTAGACATATCCATTTAAATTGGAATTTAGCCAAATCAGAAAACTGAATATGTTAAAATCTAAAATAGATGTGATATAAATCACTATCACTTTTATTGGAGACTATACTCATATATAAACCATTAATTTTATTAAATTTAGCATAATTATTTAATTATAATAAAATTTATTATATTATAATTAATAAATTATGCTAAAATCGTTTAGTTATAAAAATAGTTAGTTATAATAAAACATTTAGTTATAACTAGTATTGCTATTTAAAACTAAAATTCTGTAGTTTAAACTCACTAAAGCTAGTTAAATAATAAAACTAGTTTAATTACTAACTAAAACTACAAAACTAGTTTGTTAACCAAATTATCTTGCTGCTATTCAATTGATTAAGTATTTTAGTACACCTAATTAAAAGTTGAATAATAGTATTAATATGTGACTTAGATTTTTTAAAATAAATTTAATCTGAATGCTGATAAAGTTGTATACTGATTAAAGCTGTAGCATAATCAGTTCACCTTATATAAGGTTTAACTTAAAATAAAATCAGCCAATATTTCTTTACTTATATAATATTATTTTAAAATATAATAAATTTTAATAATTAATATTTTTATTTTTAATTATAAATAATAAATTTATGATTTAAATTTGATTAATATCAAATTTATAGGTTGCTAGAAAAGATAGGTTTTAAGAATTTTTTTTTAAAAATTTTTTTATTTTGATAATATTAAATAAAATGCAAAAAATTTACTAATATTATTCAACAATATTTTAAGATTAAAAATTCTAGCATAGTTGAAGGTTTTAATCTATTACAACTTATATTCTTATTATTATATGTTAATATAAATAATTTTTATAAATAAGCTATAAGTCAGTTCTTACTTATTGGAAATTATAAAATTATAAGTGAAAGAATATAAATCCTATATTATTTATTTACAGTATATGCATTGCTAATCAATTAGAAAATTAACCGATTGTTTTATTTAATATTACAGTAAACGTTTTTCCAATTACTAAATTAATAAAAATGATCATAAATGGTAGGCATCAAAGATTAAAAAAATTATCAATCGTGATCAGATTATCAATCTCATGTCTTTAATAGGCAACGTTATAATCGGGTCCCATTGAGTTACTTTTTGAACTAAATCATTTATGATTTTAGAAATTTTGTTTTGATTTTTTTATATATAAATATGGTGTTTGATTGTATTAAATTTCCGGAAATATTTATCGTTATTGGTTAATTAAAGACAAATTTGGTGAACAAACAACGAACATTTGTGCAAAGATGTATGCTTGTTTTAATACCTATTTTAGAATAATCTAACCTTAAAGAGACCGGAGTTTTTAAAGCGCATTCATTTATTTAAAGAATTCATAAAAAATATTTTTTTTCTCTCTTACTTTTTTTTTTTTTTTTTAATAAAAGAGATGACGATCACTAATGTTATATCAGGCACGATAGAAGTTACAAAAGGGGTGAATGAAATAAAATCTTCAAAGTTAGCTTTTGCAAAAGAAGCACTTACAGCAGCGTCTAAAGCAGGGGACGCTATTACACCATTTATACCCTTAATTGGAGCAGCGGCTACAATTATTACAGAAATAATTGATGTATATCAGACCGCACAGTATAATAAAAAAATTTGTAATTCAATATTAGATAGAGCAAGGTTGGCGGAAATTGCGATTGATAACATAGTTCGTAGGAGGAAAGAAAATGAACTACATTTTAAAAATCAAAAGTGGTATTACGCATTTAATAGATTTGTTGAAGTTTTAAATAAACTTAAGCAATTTGCCGAGGAAATTTCGCAATTAAAAAGGATTATAAATTTTATAAAAGCTAGAAATATTTCAGAGAGATTTTGTGAACTCACAAAAGAATATGATGATATAATGAAAGACTTAAATTTTACTATGGCTATTTCTAACGAACAACAACGACGGATTGATCAAAAAAGTTTAAAAGATGATTTGGGCGAGACCTCTAAGGTTTGTTAATTATAAACCAATAAAATGACAATAATGATGATGATGATATTTATTAAACTTTATTTCGATTTCGAAAACATTAGTTTCTCAAAAAAATTGATATTGGTATTGAAGAAAATCAAGTCCATCTAGCCCTCATCTATGAAGAAATTGGAAATTTGGTTACCCAAGTAAAACGTATAGATCGCAGGTCATCCGATGACGACAGTATTCAAGTAAAAAAAATAGAATCCAGTCAATTAAGAGAACCAGCTATAGGAAAATTACTCGATACACGCGGCTCTAACTCTCGTTTAATAAAAAGAAAAATATATATGGATGCTATTGAAATAGCTCTTAAACCTATTAAAATTCCTAAAGAAAATCCGGAAAAACGTAGAGTTGAACGTCAGCTTGCTATCCAAATTAAAGCTTCTCAATCACCAAATGTTATTCGATTTTATGGGCTTACAGAGGTTGGTAGTGAGACATTTATGATTTTAGAATGGGCCCAACTTGGAAGCTTAAAAGAAATGTATGAAGAAAATCAAAAACAAATTCCCTTGGAATTGAAGGTGCATTAATTTCTTTTATTTTTATTTTCTCGATATTTTTTCGACTGAACGTTTAAAATTGACACGGATTTTATATTTTCATAGTTAACTTATGCACTTCAAATTTGTCGAGGTATCGCTTATTTGAACGCATCAGGTAGGTCTGAATATAGGTTATTCATAAAAAGATGTGATTAAATATTACGTTCTATCTAATATCTATTGTGAATGCAGATGTTTTCCACCATGATGTGAGGTGCAAAAACATAGTGGTATGTATAAAAATAACTTTCAGAAAAAAGAAATGAAAATAAATTAATATTTATTATAGGTAACCGAAAACAACGTAGCAAAGCTAACAAATTTCAAGATTTCACGTAACGTGAATGATACTACGTCAACGATTGGTTCTTCTCTTGAAGGCACTCGCTGGCTTGCCCCTGAAAAATTAAGGGATCAATATCAACCTTATAATCACAAATGTGAAATTTTCAGTTTTGGAATGCTTTTATGGGAATTAGCTTTTGAACAAATACCATATAAAGATATGGAAATCCATACAGCTTCAGATTTTGTGATTAGTGGTGGTAGACCAAAAATCGATTTTGGTCTTGCATCTGAAATTACCCCAATACACAAAGGTTATGAAAAGATCATTAGAGAAGGTAAATTATTATTATTGTATTGTAACATTTGTTTTATGTTCATTCCAGCTTTATTCTAAACAGGATAATTTCACTTTATTGAAGCCTGGTATAATGATCCTGATCTTCGTATCAGTATTTCGAAATTATTGATTGATTTAGATAGTTTGGTTATAACCCATACGAAGCCTGGCCGTTCTCCGAGAATTCCACCTCAAAATGAAGCAGAGATCAATCTATCTTTTGAATTTGAAAGTTCAAGTTATAATGACGATTATGGATTTCCAGAAAGTGAATTTAATATTGATGAATTGGAAATCGAACCATTAATTCCAATTAATGAAGGTATAAAAGCTCATAAAGATAAAGATTTTGAAAAAGCATGGAAATGTTTCGACAAACAAGCAGAAAATCAAAACAGTAAAGGGAAACATTGGAAAGCTCACTACTTGTGGGAGGGAATTTTCGTTCCTAAAGATAAAATAAGTGCTATTAAATTATTTAAAGAAGCTGCCGATGATGGTATCCCCGATGCCCAACTTCGTTTTGCATTTTGTTTACCTGATAAAGATATAAGAGTGTTAAACCTTAATCCAAAAGATTCTATTAAATATTTGAAATTAGCCGCTGATAGTGGTAATGATGTTGCACAATTTCATTTAGGTGAGGCTTATCTGAAAGGAAAGTTAGGCTTTAATAAAGATTTAAAAATCGCGATAAATTTTTTTAAAATATCTGCGTTACGTCATAATCCTAACGCTAAGAAAAAATTACAAGAACTGAAAGAACAAAATATAGATATAGAAGACTAAGAATTCGTCATACTCGATTTATTTATCACCATCTATTTCATTTATAATTAAAATATTTATTTTATGATGTACTATTTTTCGTTAATTTTTGCTGTTTCCATTTAAATAATAATATTCTAAATGCAAAATAAAATTACAGTCATCCCTCTATATAATCACGCAGTTGGTGCTTACATTAAATGTGACTATATAATATATCACATGAACTGTGACAACATAATGGACATTTTAACTTTCTAGCGATCTTATTGGTAGAAATATTTTTTTGAAATATCACATAATACTTATTCATTATACAATTTATCATTAATATATACTTTTTACAAAAGAAGAATGAATATCTTGATTTTGTATTGCTTGAGGAGATTTAAATATAATTCCACTTCATTTTGTTTAATATTTTGCTTTTCATCAAAAATATGATTTAAAATTATATTACTCTCATCATTGGTATTTTCGATTTGTAAATCAGTAGCAATAGAGGCATATTATAAATTTCAAGAATAATTTCTTTAGCATAATGAATAAACTTTATTTTCATTTTTTATTTTATAATAGCCAAATTTTAATCGCAGATCTAGTACTATATAATTTAATTAATTAAATATTATAATTAAAAAATCGCATTTATTAAAAAAATAAGAATTTAAAATCAAAAAATATATATGTTAATAATACTTACTAGTTGCAATTGTATATATATTTGAATCATAAGTTTTTTCATAATATATTTCTAATTTTTTAAACCTGCTTTTACAGTAAATATTATATTAATAAAACTATTTTCCTTTTCACAATATGCTTTAAGTTCATTTAACAAATAATTATATATTGGAATAATATTAGAAAACTTAGAATATTTCACAAATGAAACCTGCTTAGTTATTTGTATAAATATCTAAATATTATATAAATTAAAATAAATTGAAATTAATTATAAAGAAAAAATAATGTTTAAATTATTAAAATTCATTTTTACCTTTAAAACAAATATAATTTTTTTAAATTTATTTCATTCATTATCTGTAAGTTAAAAAATTCAGAAGTCTTTATAAGAATTTGCTAATATATCAATTGCCTAAAAAATAATATTAAAATATAAATAAAATTAATAATAATTATGTATTTTAATATATTCTAACTTCTCGCATTTCAAATACTTTATTAAACATATCATGAGTTGAATTTCATCTCATTTTTTACATCTAAAATAAGATTAAGATTTTTAAGACAGCTGCTTCGGCATGACATATAAAACAATCTTGACATTATGGTAATGATCATATTTTAACTATAATTTTTTGAAGCTAATAATTAAATAAATAATTAATATAATAATTTTAATAATTAAATTAAATATTAATTTATAAAACATTAATATTTACCTTTGGAATTATTTCTTTAACATTTTTATTTACATTTATATCATTTAATACATCAACTTCAATTTGTGTTTCTCCTACTTTACTTTTATTTAAAATTTCTTATACTGATATATTTATAATATGAGTAATATAATGCTAATGAGCATTAATAGTATTAAACATAATATTTTTTTTTTGATAATTATCTTCCAATTCTTTCATAAAAGTATCATTATTTTTAGCATTATCACTTGTAATTGCAAGAATCTATAATAATCAAATTGTTTATTAATACTTATTTAAAAATAAAACAAAGTATAAAAATTTATCTTTGCTAAAATTTCAAATTCATTACAACTTTTTATAAAAACATCATACAGATTTTCATTAGAATGGAACATTATGTGTAGCAAAAGCTAAAAAAGGAGAAGGAGTATGATTAAAAGGAGTGGTGTTAAGAATAGGTGTATCTTATGCATTAAAATCAGTAGAGACAGTGTTCATAATAAAATTAATATTTTGGATATCATTAAGGTAGCTCTTGACTTCATCATCAAAGGCTACAATTAAGTGGGAATATATTGTTAGCTTGTTCTTGCGGAAACAAATTATTTTTAATTAAGATACTTTAGAAAGTAGTGCAGGAGTGAGCAAGCATATTAATAGTTGCTGTGAATGATTTAAGTCTGAATTGGTGCATCTCATTCAGGCTGCGTAATCCGTCGATTATTTTTTGTTGTTTAGCTACAGTGGAAACCGAAACATCGATATGTGGTTCAATATCATCAATCATTTCATCAGAATTCATATTGTGTACCTCAGCCTTGACTGGAGTAATGACTTTAACATTGAGTTATCGTTCAATGGATTCAACACATTTGATGGTGAAAGCCAAGTTGATCATGATGATGGATAGATTTTCAGAAAGGCTATTGAATTGGAACTTTATGAAATCTTTGAAATAATCTTCATTGTTTGCGTGCATAAATCTGCCTACTTTGGTACCTTTATAAACTGTGCCATTAGGCGTGAAGCTGATAGTTTATTATAAGGATTTCTTCGTTCATGTTCGATGAGACGTCATCAGACTATGAACTAGATTGTGGATCGCGTTTTTTTTCAGAATGTGAAGGTGGTTTGTTTCAATTATTATTGTTATTATTAGGATTGTTGTTATTATTATTATTTCTAGGTGAGGTGGGTTGTTGATTGTCATTCGTGATTGATGGTGATTTAGTAACATGGGCAAAGGTAATGTCCAGATTTACTGTGCCTCTCATTTTTTTAGGTGAAGCCTTGTAGTTAGAATATTACGCCAGTTGGAATCTCTGATAAAGATTTTGCATGTTCCGATCAGCTAGAGATTTCCTACGTCGTGGACATCCATTAGCTTTATGATTTGGGGAAGAGCAAATCGCATAAAGTTTGGTCTTCGAATCAATACAAATCACGTGTTTACCATCTATGGTAAGATTCTTATTGGAAAGAGCAGCTTATATATCATCTGTGAAGGCAAAATAAAAAATGCGTGTTGTAAATTTTGGTAGTTAAACCGGGCTTTAGGAATGACCCAGGCAATAGCGTCAACCATATTTCTAATTTCCTCGAGATGTCTACCCATTGTGAACCTAGGAAGGCCGGTAAGTTTTGCTGAAAATTTTGAACATGCCAAAATATCTGCGTGAGATTGGTCACACATGTGGACTCTGACCATGTCATTAAGTATGAAGAGACCATAACAATCCTTTAGTCTCTTGAAATTTGTGTCTTCCGCGAAGGTAATGGTAGCCTGTTGCCACATATTCTTTGTTTCTATTGTGAAATGGACGATCATTCCAAATTTGGCAAATGTCGTCTTGATCCTGTGTTCCGTAGAATCCAGGGGGATTTCAGTTACCTTGATCGACTTTGCAGGGACATATGGTTGTGTGCATATTACATTTAGCGGTAAGAATGTGCAATTTTTCAAATTAGGTAATTGGACTGAACATGCATGATCTCATTCATCCTGGTTGCGAAAGGAAATTTTAATTATACGTTTTGATTAGTCATTTGGATGTTTAGCCAAGTTCGCTCCTGAGAACGAATCGTATTTGTCGAAAAGCAGATCAATAACAAACGAGACTTTTTGCTGCAGTGATGTTCCTGGAAATTCTTCAAGGGGAAAATATTTGTGGAAAGAAGGCTTTTAACGCTCAAAAGCTTATACTGAAGACGTTTTTTTGTCCAAGTTTTCCAACGCGTCAAAACTAGCGTTTACGTCAATAGTAGTAGTGGTTTTTTCTGGAGTCTCTTCCAAAGTTTCTTTCTCCTTGCCTTTTTTCGAAGGTGAAGGGTTAACTTTCATCAATACTACTGATTCTGGAGGCTCTATAGTTTGTTGGGTTGGTGGAGTATCCACAGTTTGCGTTGTATTTTGTTTTTTGGTTTTTTGCGTTGTTAATAGTGAAAACGAACGTCCTCGTTATTTTTGTTTTTGCTCGCTGTTTTTTTGGTTATTTTTGGGATTTTTTAAGAAATATTTTCTGCTGGTCAAGCCTATGTTGTATTAAATCAATGCTCTGATAGGTCAAAAGTGCACATCATCTTATTACATCCTTCAGCATTTATTACAGATAAATTAATGCTTAAAGAATATGAAAGATTAGAACAAAAATCAAATACTTCTTTAATTTTGTAAATATAGTATATATTTAAATAATTTTTTTTTAATAAAAATTTTAATCTAATAAAATGTTTATTAAAAAATTCTCCTATTTTAAAAATTTATTAAATAACTTTACAAATACAACAAAATATTTATGTAGATATAGATACGAATATTATTGATTATAATATAAATTTATTTATATAAATATAAGATATTTAATGTGACGTTTAATGGGAAATAGAATCCCTTGCATATCGCAACTTCTAGTTATATATTTATAAAAATAATATAAAAAAATTTTTTTTAAAAAAAAATTAATTATTTATAAAAGTAAATCAGAAGAAAATTTATAGTAAATAAGCAAGCAAAATTACTTGCAAAATCCTACAATTTAAGATATAATATAATAAAAAATAATTTGTTTATTTAATGATTACAAACTTATTTATTAAAAAAATCTATATATAGTAGTGTTCATTAAATAAATATTTATAAATTTGATTATAAATAAATTTTAATATATATGAAATTTAAATACAATAAATATTTAATTTTTTTTAAAATATCAAAAATTGTTTAAATAAAATAAATAATTATATGTTATCTGTAATAATTAAATTATCTATAAATTAATAAAATATATAAGTATATTA